AAATCAACCCTGAGTGCTCACTGGAAGGACAGATCCTGAAGCTGAGGCTCCAATACTTTGGCCATCTCATGAGAAGAGAAGACTCCCTGGAAAAGACCCTGGTGTTGGGAAAGTGTGAAAGCAAGAGGAGAAGGTGACGACAGAGGACAAGATGGTTGGACAGTGTCATCAAAGCTACTAACATGAATTTGACCCAACTCCGGGAGGCAGTGGAAGACAGGAGGGCCTGGCGTGCTCTGGTCCATGGGGTCACAAAAAGTTGGACACTACTAAAACACAACAAGCTTTTTTCCCTCCATTGTGTCATGAAACCCCTTAGTGTCTCACATGTGAAAGGGGAGCAACTGTTATTGCTCTCACTCTCACAGACTGGTCCCTGGAAGTTTCACATGGTAATGAACTATCTGAGGATCTGAAAAAAATGAATTGTTGCTCTACATGAGGATGGCCTAGGCCAAACTGGGAAGAAGAAGAAAAACAGCGGGCGGTGTCCGGCGGCGGCATAACTGGAAGTGGCGGTGGAAGGGGAATCCCAGCATGGAGGTGCCTCAAGACCCCACTTCGGATCCACTGACAGCACCAGCTGCTCCTGATCCGCCTGCCAAAGCACCAGCACTGCAGCTGAAGCCGTCTTCTCAGGTTGGGCTGTGCGGGGGGGGGAGTAGTGATCTCACGACCTATGGCTCGCATACAGAAAGGGATCCGCGTGCCAGCTGTGGCAGGCGTGCCATAGATTTGCCATCGTTGGCCTAGGCTATAAGAAGATTGCCAAAACCCTGAAACTGAGCTGCAGCACAGTGGCCAAGACCACACAGTGGTTTAACAGGACAGGTTCCATTCAGAACAGGCCTCGCCATGGTCGACCAAAGAAGTTGAGTGCCCATGCTCAGCGTCATATCCAGAGGTTGGCTTTGGGAAATAGACATATGAATGCTGCCAGCAATGCTGCAGAGGTTGAAGGGGTGGGGGGGTCAGCCTATCAGTGCTCAGACCATACGCCACATACTGCATCAAATTGGTCTCCAGGGCTGTCGTCCCAGAAGGAAGACTCTTCTAAAGATGATGCACAAGAAAGGCCGCATACGGTTTGCTGCAGACAAGCAGACTAAAGACCTGGATTTCTGGCACCATGTCGTGTGGTCCAATGAGACCAAGATCAACTTATTTGGTTCAAATGGTGCCAAGCATGTGTGGCGGCAATCAGGTGAGGAGTACAAAGACAAGTGTGTCTTGCCTACAATCGAGCATGACTGTGGGAGTGCCATGGTCTGGGGCTGCATGAGTGCTGCCGGCACTGGGGTGCTACAGTTCATTGAGGGAACCAGCTCTGTGATGTCATCATGGAGGAGTGGATGAGGACTCCAGTGGCAACCTGTGATGCTCTGGTGAACTCTATGCCCAAGACAGTTAAGGCAGTGCTGGAAAATAATGGTAGCCACACAAAATATTGACACTTTGTGCCCAATTTGGACATTGTCACTTAGGGGTGTACTCACTTTTGTTGCCAATGGTTTAGTAATTAATGTCTCTGTGTTGCATTTTTTTGAGGGGACAGTGCATTTACATTGTTATACAAGCTGTATACTCACTGCTTTACATTGTAGCCAAGTGTCATTTCTTCAGTGTTGTCACATGAAAAGATATACTAAAATATTTATGAAATGTGAGGGGGTGTACTCACTTCTGTGATATACTATATTTTTCATTTTTAACAGGAGAAAGAGTGGTTGCAGAAGGCAGAATCCTCCTTCTGCTTGCTCCAAAAGTGTCCACAATGGCCAGTTTTCTGTTCAAATAATCTCTGAAACCAGGTTAACTGGTTGGGTGACAATTAGAGATGAGCATGAGTTATGTAGTGCCTCTTCGTATAAAGATCTCCGTGTGGCATCACAGGTGCTGCATGTTCCCTTCCCCAACCTCCCGGACAGTTGCTCTGCTCACAAGCCTCTGTGCACTACCTGGGCAGTCCTCCATCACCGGCTGCACAGTCCAGGAAGGAGCTTGGGCTTCCTTTTCCCATTTCCTCCAGCTGCGGACCACTCAGACAGAGCATATAATGCTCTTGTTACAACAACTATACTGGTTGTCAGTCTGTTTCTGGGTGCATTTCAATGTTATGGTCATTACCTATGAAGTTCTATATGGCTTGGGGCCAGGCTACCTGAAGGACTCCCCATATGAGCCTTTTCAGCACTTAAGATTGTCAGACAAGGCCCTTCTCTCAGTCCCATTGACAGTGCAGGCATGGCTTTTGGGGATATGAAAGAGTGTCTATAAGTAAGATAAATAAATGTCCTTTCCTTCCCTTCCAAATCTGTTGTTAAACTTGATTTTTCTGCTGTCCAAAAGTGTTTTAAACAAATAAAAAACAACATTTAAATAGAAATATTGTCTGTACTTCAAAGACTTGCTAGTAGACATTTTGGAGATAAAACACACTATGGTCTGTGCGACATGGTGGCGCTGCGGGCTAAACTGCAGAAGCCTTGGTGTGCTGCAGGGTCAGAAGACCAGCAGTCGTAAGATCGAATCCACGCGACGGAGTGAGCTCCCGTCACTTTGTCCCAGCTCCTCGCCAACCTAGCAGTTTGAAAGCATGTAAATGCGAGTAGTTAAATAGGTACCATCTCGGTGAGAAGGTAAACAGCATTCCGTGTATAGCTGCGCTGGCCACGTGACAACGGAAACTGTCTTCGGACAAACGCTGGCTCTATGGCTTGGAAACGGGGATGAGCACCGCCCCCTAGAGTAGAAAACAACTGACTAAAATGTCAAGGGGAACCTTTACCTTTATGGTAAAAACACCATAGATTCAATGCAAATTCAGGCACAAGTTGAAAACTATGGGGGGACAGCAAAAAAAGAAAGTTAAATGTTGTGCATGTTCCAAGTATCATCGTTACATCCATCATAGTTTTTATGCAATGTGCAGGTGCCATGAAGAAGCAGGCAGGTATTGCAAGGAAGAAATCAGGACTTCAGAGTCAGCATAAATTACTGTAGGGTCCAAAGAAAAATGTAGGTGGCTTCACATATTTCAAACGGATGCTTTCATTCTGTACTTTTTTCTTTATGTTCAGCATGATCTACGCCTTAGTGAGCTCCTAATTCAAAGATGCCGCCAAAAGCTGAAAACAACAAAGGATGCAGAGGAAAGACAAGCTAGCCTGCAGTGAGGCTTGATACATAAAGCACAGTAAAGAGATGGAAGCTTTGAACCCAGCAGCCATGCAGGATGTAAAAGGGAAACATGTGGGAAAAACCCCTTAGGGAGGATAGTTGAATGCAGAAGTGGAGAAACTTGGAAGTGACAGAAAGCTGAGCAAACTGCTTCTCTCTCTTACCTCTTAGTGTTTTACAATCTTTGGATTTATGATTTCTCTGTGTAAACAAAACAGTATGTGTTTATAAAGTTAAAAGTAGCTATATTTGAAGACAATTTCATTTGTGTGTAATAGAAGAGAAGGTTTGTCACATTAATTTTTTGCAGGAGAACAGCAAGTTCTGCAACAAAGAGAATTGTGTCTCATATTCTTTCTTCACACAGAAGACAGTAAAGCAAGATAGCTCCCTATGGAAACTGTGGTCAAGAGGGATGCATAATACTCTGCTTCCTGAGACTAATCACTTACTGGAGAAAAGCTGGGAAAACATTTGGTTAATTGCTCTTGTGATTCATGGAAGAAGAAATACTTCTTGCCAGGACCCAAGGCAGAAACACACACAAAGTGTGTGTCCTGCCATTCTTAGTTAAAGGCCCTTTATGTGATTGGCTCTCTGGTAGTTTATACTCATATGTCCCAGCAGTGCTGTATCAAGGCACACATGGTGCCATAAAATAGTGCTAGTGCATTATATATGACAGTTATGTGGAGCACTCTGTAGTATAGTATTCTTCCTACTGAAGAAAATATACACTAGTAAAACTTATGGAGGAATGGGGTAACAGAGTGTTCTACAACCCAAAATGCAAACTGTAAAGGACCACATATTTAGTCTGCAGTCTTGTATGTGGCTTCAGTTGTAGAAACCAAATGAATCTAATGTTAATGAGTTTGTTCAGTTTTTCTTTTGCATCAAATGGATGTTGTAGAACATACAGTAGTAATAAATGTCATTTTCCATTAAAAGTTTCTGTTTTCATCTTAAGATATCAGGATGACCACATTGACAGAAATAGGCTTTATTCATGTCTCTCATATAAATGTACACATGTATTGTTTTAAGTTTGTAGTAAACTTTATGTTACAGTTTTAAAAGTGCCTGTGAGGTAGAAAGTAAGTCTCATTGAATCCACTGCAGTTTTCTTCTGAGTTAAATTGCTTAGAAATACCTTTCTCATGATGGAGTCTGACAAGCTGATAAAGGGATGGAGAACATGTGATGACTAGATTTTGTTTGATTGCAGCTCTCGTTATCATTGACCATTGGGTTTGCTAGATTCTTAAGGTTTCAGTCCAACAATATCTGGAAGACTACTGGATGTTCTCCGTCCTGGATTTAATGTAAACAGTTCCTAATGTCACACCCAGGATGTCCACCCTTGCTGAAACCACAGCAGAGTAACATCTTGGATGGAGTGGCATACTGCAACAGATGTACCAATGACAAAGCTTATATATTGAAATCAGCTACAAAGAGGAGGACCACCACTTCAGTTCTGTGTATGTTACTCTCAATTCTCACTCAGATCAGCAGGGCTTATACCCCAGGTACATGCAAACAGAATGTCACCCTAAAGCTCCAGTCCAGCTTTTTCCAGAACAAGTGTAAGTGACTGTATTCAGAATGGTAAACAACTCAAGATTGCACTGTATAGCTAAATGTAGGTGGTGATCCAACTGGTGGTCATTTATTAGTCAGATTTGGCCCATAGGCTGTAAGGTCCTTACCAGGATGGTTTAACATTAGACTTATTCACCTTGGTTTGGGTAGGAATTAGCAATCAGTCATTTATAAGCACATGGTACTGAAGATTCAGCTGATCAAGAAGATACGGTAATTGTTTTAAAGGTAAGGAGACAAAATGATCTCCCCCCTTCACAGTAAATCAAGAGAAGGTAAGTGGTACAGTAAACATTAAGTAAGCATTGCTATAGGGAGAAAACCATTTTAGGGCTAGCTACATGATTGTGTGCTGCCAGTTTTAACTCATATATCCACTCAGGTATGCAAAATCAATCTGAATTATTAAAGTATCTTATTGAACATGTTTAAGAATTTGTTATATCTGTTTGAATGAGTTTCTGCTGCTGAAATCCTGTTGTACAATTACACAAATGACATCACTTTTAAATATGAATCACCATAAGAAATAGCAATAGACATTATCGGTTGCATGCCAAGTTGTACAACTCAGAGTGCAACAGATAATGTCTGCTTAGATTTCTTAACTTATGGCAGTTTACACCCATCATTTGCATAACTGTGCAACAGGACTTCAGCCAGTGGATAAGGGACCAGTGTCAAAAGCTTTGCTGTGTCTCTGACCAGGCCAAACTCAAAGAAATACAATATTTGATATATGAATAATTATACTGGAACCAAGAAGTGCTGTCCTGTGAACAGTAGAGTTTGTGATTTTTCTTTCTTTCTTGTTCTAACTATAATTAAAGACTTAAGTAGTTTCTTAGACAAATGCTTTTTCTGTCCTTCCTTCACATAAGAAGAAGCTTGCCAACTGTTAGATTCTTGTGTGCTTTTTTCTTAGGTTCAGTGTGTACTCTTGGAATTATTGCATCATACATCCCTTTTAATGTTTTTTAGTGACACAGCTGTGCCACATAAAATAGCCATCAGTAAGTTTCGGAGTTGCATCAAACCCATTCATTTGCAAAACATCATGTTGGGAAATAGGAAAGCAACACTTGAACCAATGCTTATATTTAAAGTAAACAAAATGTGTACTTTGTTGGATTTTTTGATCAGGATCCCACAAATTCCCAGGGACAGGGAACTTCCATCTAGTGATTTTTTAAAATACAAAGTTAACACAGTATCTTGCTTTGTACATAATATCCAATTTGTATTTCTGTAATTATAGAAGCCTGATCCAGGAAGGCTTCTATCAGTGAAACAAGAAAGGAGGTGATTTTAACTATATATGCTTCCTTCCATCCTGTGGCAAAAAGTTCTCTAATCCTCTGGAGAAAATTGGACTAAGTAATTGTAGTCTGCTGAAAATTACTATTACTCCCATGGTCAGAGCCTTGTACTAGTGAAGGGGCATCAGTTAGCTGTGACCTAAAGAATACAACTTAGAAGACCAATAAATTTGAATTCTTATTCTATCCTGATTGTTATCTTCACTAAGCTATCAGATCTGTCAGTGACAATTAAGAAAAGTCAGGTAGAAATGCTTCATCAAGACAGCAAAATGTCACTAGATCTTTTTACAGAACACTCATTTTCTTTTGCAAATACAACTCAAGGTGGAAATAGAAAGCTGGAATAAACAAATTATCCTCTACAGTCATGGCCAAAAATATTGGCACCCTTGCAATTCTGTCAGGAAATGCAACCCTTCTCAGAAAATTGTTGGGGTTCCAAATGTTTTGGTACTCACATGTTCATTTCTTTGATATGCGTTGGAACAACACACACACACACACACACAGAGAGAGAGAGAGAGAGAGAGAGAGAAAAGAAAAGTCATATCTGATACAGTCCCACACAGAAACCCCAAAATGCACTGGACAAAATTATTGGCACCCTTAACTTAATATTTGGTAGCACCCCCTTTAGAAAAAATTACTGAAATCAATTGCTTCCTGTAACCATGAATGAGTTTCTTGCACCTCTGTACTGGAATTTTGGACCACTCTTCTTTTGAAAATTGCTCTAGGACCTTCAGATTTGAAGAATGCCTTCTACCAACTGCTGTTTTGAGATCTCTCCACAGGTGTTCTATGGGATTCAGATCTGAACTCATTGCTGGCCATTTCAGAACTCTCCAGCCCTTTGTTTGTAATGACTTTTGAGTGCTTTTTGAAGTGTGTTTCGGGTCATTGTCCTGCTAGAAGACCCACAACCTCTGGTGGAGCCGCAGCTTTCTGACACTGGCCACTACATTGTGCCCAAAAGTTCTTTGGTAATCATGAGATTTCATAGAAGCAGCAAAGCAACCCCAAAACATCTTTGAACCTCCACCATGTTTGACTGTAGGGATTGTGCTCATTCTTTGAATGCCTCGTTTCTTTTTCTGCAAATAGTGCCATTATGTCCTTGAGCAAAAAGTTCTACTTTTGTCTCATCTGTCCACAGTACATTCTCCCAGAAGGGTTGTGGTTTTGTCACATAAGTTTTGGCATACTCCAGACTTGCTTTTTTATGCCTTTGTGTCAGCAGTGGTGTCCTCCTGGGTCTCCTACGATAGCGTCCCTTTTCATTCAGATGGTGACAGATAGTGCGAGCTGACACTGTTGTACCCTGTGACTGCAGATCAGCTTGAATTTGTTTGGAAGTTAATCCGAGTTCTGTATCCACCATTCAAAAAACCCTTCGTTGTAATTTTTCAGTACTTTTTCCTCTTCCATCCACGTCCAGGGAGGTTAGCTACGGTGCCATGGGCTGTAAACCTCTTGATGTTATTGCACACAGTGGACACAGGAAAATTAAGGTCTCTGGAGATGGACTCGTAGCCTTGAGATTGTCAATATTTTTCCACATTTTTTCTCTAAAATCCACAGACAACTCTTTACACTTCATTATTTTCTCCATGCTCAGTGTCACAACACAAAGGTTGAGTCAACTTTTCTCCATCTTAAGTGGTTGCAAGTGTGATTACTATATTGCCCACACTTCTTACTTTTGACAGGTGTGTCTAAATACAAATTAAAGGAGCATCACATGCTTGAAAAGCAATTATGTCTTACAATTTAGACAGAGTGCCAATAATTTTGGCCAGTGTATTTTTGGGTTTCTATGTGGGATTGTATCAGATTTGACTTCTTCTCTGCTTTTTTGTGGTGTTCCAACACAAACCAAAGAACATGTGAGTACCAAAACATTTGCAACTGCAACAATTTTCTGAAAGAACGATTGCATTTTCTGACAGAATTGCAAGGGTGCCAATATTTTTGGCCACGACTGTAGGAAGGAACAAGTGGAACAACTTCATGTGTGATCAGTTGAACTTTATATTGTTGGTCTTAAGTACATTACCATTCTAATGAGCTGTTCTTATTTAAGCAAGCATCCTGTTTATTCTCATATTTTCTATGTGCGGGAATAAAGCGTGCATGAGCCAAAGTACTATTCCATGCTTTGAATCATATTTTCTATGCTGATGAATGCTGCCGGCATTTTAACAATGCATTGTGATGATGCATTTCAACTATTGTCACTGATTTGTTCACTCTGATGCATGCTCCAATGAGATTCTGGAAAAAAAGGATGCCAAAGTGAATCTAAAATATTTGTACAAACTCTTCAGTGACAAGGTGAACAGCTTTAATGGCTCTAGTTTGTAATCCCTTTTCCCCAAAATAGATCTTAGGTATAAAACATTTATGACATGTTAGGTCCCTAGAGTATACCCAGTG